CTGCTGCTGTGGGCTCTCGGCCTGCAGCTGGACTCACGCGGCTGCTGCTGTGGGCTCTCGGCCTGCAGCTGGACTCACGCGGCTGCTGCTGTGGGATCTGGGCCTGCAGCTGGACTCACGCGGCTGCTGCTGTGGGATCCGGCCTCGGCTGGATCATTTGGGTCTCTAGTGCGTGGACAGATCTCCTGCACTCTTCTGCATTTGGCTCTTTGAGTGAAAATTATAACATGCTCCTATAAATCACATGTCCTGTATTATTTTTTTTCCTTTGCAAAAGGAAACCCCGGCCACAATGCGTCCTGTATACAAGGTGACCTTTCACCGTCACAATGGACCCCTCAGGGGCCAGTTACATAACCAGGATTACTGGCTTGGCCAAGGGGCTGCACCCTACTTCTGTGGCGATAGCAAGAAGGCGTCTTTGGCTTGATGACACAGGGGCGAGACCAGCTGAGCAAACATTTGCAGAGGGCTAGGAGGGGACTGCCCCTCCTCAGGCCCGGGAAGGGCAGCAGCCCGTCTTGGTGATAAAAGGTTAATCCACAAACTAATAAAGATTAGAAGAGACCCGGAAGAGCGAGTTCCTCGGATCAGCCTGGATGCCACAGGCATGAGGACGAAGTCTTGAAGAGAACAGCTCTCGCATTTCATTTACTTTGAAGGCTGCGGCTGCTGCTCTGCGCCAGGCTCTGCTTTCTGGCTCAGGCTCTGGGGAACTTGAATCTGCCGTGAAGAACTCAGCATCTGCCCTTCTGGCCTCACAAGCGCCAGGAGGGACTTCTCCCTCAGGTGTGACCACGATCAAGTGCATGGCCAAGTCCGGGAGGGGCATCAGCATGGGGTCTGAGACGCCGTGAGCGCGGAGGGACGGCGGAGCTTCTGGCCTCTTCCTGGAAATGTTTCCTAGTCTTCCTGGCTCCTCTGGCCTGCATCTGCCACGTTGCCAGGGAGGTTTCCCCGGACTCTGCTTGCTCCAGCGGCCCAGTTCAGGGTTCTGTCCTGCCTAGCTGCTGAGGCCACAGTCAGCCTGGTACAGGGGTGGGGACCTCTGGCTGTGCGCTGGGGGAAGCTTTGTCTGTTTCTCGACAGAGGGTCTTACTAAGTTGTTGACCTGCCCAGGTGGGGCTGGAACTTGTGACCCTCCTGCCTCAGCCTCCCAGAGTGCTGGGATCACAGGTGGCACCGTCATGCCTGGCCAGGTTGGGGAAAGCGTCTAATCCTACCTCGATGCTCAGACTGCTGTGCCACTCACCGTACCAGTGCCCCAGGGACCCCTGGGAAGTGCAGAGGTCTGCTGAGCCCTGGTCTACAGCTGTGTCCTCCTCCAGGATACCATTCGTCACCCTAAGCTCCACACAGTCCCCAGCACCACTGGCCTCCTGCTCCCTTTCTCAGTGACAAGCTGGGCCCCAATCCCGTGTCCCCAGCCTCCACCCAAGAACCAGCATCTGTCACCCATCTCTCCCAGAGACCCAGCAGATGCCACACATGGCATGATGTGGACTGCAGTGGTGTGGCTGGACTGGGAGAGAGGGGCCCGAGCTGCCCTGTGACCCATCCCTAACCGAGTCCTGCATGTCCAGCTGCCCATGGGATGTAGCTGGGAGTCCTGGCCAGGTCTTCCTGGAAGTGCCACCTGAGCCCTGCCCCTGCCCTGGCATGCCCTTCCTGCCCTTCCCCTAGCTGGCTCCGTCTCAATGCCCTGCCTCAGCCCCACGTAGAAGCCACCCGGCCACTGCTCGGCCCGCCACCCACCTCCCTGTCATCGCCCTGGCAGCGGCTTCCTCAGAGCAGTTCTCAGGCAGAGGTGCTGAGCCCTGCTCCTGTAGTTAGCATATGCACAAACAGTTCTGTTTACTTCCTCCACCTGCCTGGTAACTCCACAGGACAGAGCCCTGGAGCCCCACCCAGGGAGGTAAACAGATGCCCAGAAGAGCTCTAGGGGGCAAACCAAGAGGCCAGTGCAGTGGTCACTGAGGGTGGGGACGCAGTGGGACCAGAAAAGCTCCTACCCTGGCAAGGCAGCCTCAGGCCAGTGCCACTCCAGATGCTGCACCCCAGGATGCTGTGGGGCTCAGCCTCCCAACTTGTGCTCTGGACGTGGGTGTGACCCCCGCTGTAAAGGGAGGGCCAGGGCACGAGTCTCCTTTCACTCTGCTCCTCATCACAGCAGCTCAGACCCCGTCCCTGCCTCTTGGGTCTCTTTTTTTTTTGGGGGGGGGGGTGTCTCTTGAAGATCCTAGACCTGATGCCCATGTGGCACGCTGCTGTCTTCCATGCCCACCAGGACCCTTTTCATCCTGTGCCCCACATGAGCCTCCCTGATCTGTCTCTTCTCACATGGTTGACCTGCAGCCCAGGGCCACCCCCAGCACTGTCTATGCCCAGTTGAGCTATGTCGGAAGACCACCAGTCCATGTCCTACCCATTAGGGGCCAATGAGACCTTACTCAGAAACAGGTCCCTAGGCGCCACCCGGTTGCCCACCTAGTCACGGTGGCTGGCACATCACCAGCAGGTAACAATGCAGAGCTTCCACCCTGACAGGCCCTACCCAGGAGCCAAAAAAGACAGCAAAGGGAGCCCCAGGTCATGTGCCACACCTGTTGGCGCTGCCCCATCACACCACGACCATACGGCCTGTTTGGGGCAGGACACTTCCCAGGCCCGTGCTGCCCCATCCTCCCGCATGCCCCAAGGGAAGGCCTGGCTGGGGCGCCTCACCTGACCCCGATGGTGAACATGCTGAGCAGCGGCTTGCCCTGCACCCAGCCGGTGAGCGCGATGAGGCCTGTGGGAGACAAGGCGTGAGTCCACGTGTGCCCCGCCTGCCCTGCCCGGCCTGCTTCTGCGGGAAGGCGCAGGAAGCCGCGCAGGGAAACCAGCAGCCGCACGCTCTGGGTTCGCGCCTCTTCTTATGAGGGAAGGGCTTCCTGCTCTACAAAAGTCGCTTTAATCTTTCAGGAAAGGTTCTGGCTGTGTTCAAACACACAAGCATGTGTTGGGCTCTCCTGAACCTGTGCTTTCCTCCGCTGCTGCTATGTAATTCAGACACAGATTCCCCCTCAGGCTCGGGGCCAGGCCTCCCCCGAGGTGCCGGTCTGGCGGGGGCAGTGCAGCTCTCTGGGATGGCACAAGGCGCCCACGTCTTTCGAGGACTGGAGTTGGAAGCCAGTGCCTTCCCCTCGCCAGGCAAGTGCCCTGCAGGGGGCCACGACTGAAGGCAGCCCCTGGGCCGCTGCTGCTTGAACTACTTTACCCTTTGCCCCTGGTGAAATTTTCCATTTTCCTTTTCACCTATTCACTGAATGTTTACGCCAAGCCTTGAGCCGGCACTGGGGGCTAGAGCTGTCACGGAGACCTTTGAGGCAGCAGCATTCACCCAGGACCTAGGAAGTGGCTCCTCGTGGTCAGGCAGCACGGAAGAGTGCTGGGGCTGCAAGGAGGAGCAGGCTCAGGTTTTCTATCTGTAAAATGGGATCATGAGCTTGCCTCCCCTGGGGAGCTGTTACAGGGTTCAAGAAGTGTCGAATCTAACACTCTGCCAGGCTGAGGCAGGAGGATCACAAGCTAGAACCCAGAGTGGCAATTTAGCAATTTAGTTACCTGCCTCAAAAAGAAAAGGAAAGGAAAAAAAAAAAAAAAAAAAAAAGACCTGGGGATGTAGCTCAGTGTAAAGGCCCCCTGGGTTCAACCTCCAGAATTAAAGAGTGAGAGCGAGAGTGAGAGAAGTGGGAGCTCCCCATTCAGCTCCCCAACCAGGCCACCTCTAGCTTCTTCATCTGTGGAAGTAGGAAGTGGGGCTGGGGAAGGTGGCAGCCTGCAGCCACCCTTGGTACAGGCTGTTGGCTCTGTTCTGCAGGGTGTGGGCAAGTGGCATGTCCCACATGGGGTGAGGGTGTGGGGGTCATGTGGAAGGGGAGCTAAGTGTGCAAGGAGATAAGCATGCAAGGAGTTGGAGACAGAGAGGGGCCCACCTGGCCTCCCCGGGGAGAAAGGGACTCTTGCCTGGGGCTCCTGTTGGCCTACTGTGTTTGCCTACCCCCTACCCCATGGTTATGGGCTTAATGTGGGCCACCTGGTGGCACCTGCCTCCACCACCCCCCGCTTCTCCTCTGTGCCCACTGGTGACCCTGGAACCCAGCCTCAAATGTCCACTCTGCTGCAAGAGCTCTTCGTTCATTTGTTTTATTTTATTTTTGCAGAACCGGGGATTGAACTCAGGCGCTTGAACTTGTTAGGGAAGTACTTATTCCACTGAGCCATCTCCCCAGCCCTTGTTTTATTTTTTTAAAATTTATTTGGTGCAGGGTCTCACTATGCAGCTTGGACTCATAGAGATCCTCCTGTCTCAGCCTCCCCAGTGCTGGGATTGCAGGCGTACACCACCACGCCTGGTGTCGGAGCCTGCACAGCACATCTAGGACTCTAGGGCCGGCATAGCACGGAGTACCAGGAATCAAACCTGGGTCCTTGCATTCGCCAGGCAGGCGCTTAGGCTATCGAGCTGTCTCCCCAGCCCCTTGTTTTGTTTTTTGAGACAGGGTCTCACTATGTAGCCCAGGCTGGCCTCGAATTCATGGCTAGCCTCCTGCTTCAGCCACCTGAGTGCTGGGATTACAGGAATGCCTGGCTCTGGAGGAACTCTTGGAGTGCTGAGAAACACTGTTTAATATTTGGAGGGAGTGTATGTGTGAGGGGTGACGATGGCACACCTCCTTGACCTCGGAGACTGAGTTTAAACAAATTTCCTCTTGTGAAAAGGCCGCTCCTGCTAGCTACTCTGACAGTCTCCTCATGTCAGTCACTTGGCCTGTGTCTGTGGGGCTCTGAGTAGAACGAACACTTCCCTTCTGGCGGCCCCAGCTGCTGAGGGCAGGTGACAGTGGACAGCCACAGCACTGTGGGCCCCGAGATCCTGTGGCACAGAGCCCGTGCCTGAGAGTACATGGCACACAGGCAGGGACCGGCCCTGCGGCTGCTGGCCCTGCGTCACGCAGCACTTGGTGATAAGACAGCTTTCTCCTTTGGAAGTTAAAAAAAATTGCTTAAAAACTTAAAGCACATCCTCTGCTTGATGGGCACAGAGAACTAGGCAGGGACAAGTTCAGCCCGGGAGCCACTGTGTCCTTCCCCTGTGGGCAGCTGGGGTCCCCCACATTCATTCTGCCAGGTATGTCACCAGTGTGTGGTCCCAGGGACCTCAGTGGGCGTGGCAAGTGGCCACTGCCCATCCCCGTCCCTGCAGACATCACTAATCCCTCACCATCCTCTCTCACCGGGGCCAGCCTGGCTTCTCACAGCACCAAGCTCCACGAGGGGTGCCAGACTGTCCAGGCCCAGCAGAAGCCCATTTCCTTCACTGCTCAGGGCTACAGTTGGCGGGGAGGGACTGGGGAGGGCAGCAAGGCCACAGCGGCGGCAACTGGACTTCTGAAGGTGGGCACAGTGCCGCACTGGTCACCCTGGTATCTGGGAAGCTGAAGCAGGAGGATCACAAGTCCTGGGGTGTCCAAATCAATGGGGTTGTGCTTAGGATGCCAGAGGGGAAGCCCATGGGACATGGCCTATGCAACACCGTCCTGTGACCCCAACTGGTGCCACCACCTCACCACGCAGGGCAGTGGCTAGCTCATTAGCTGTGCGACCCTGGTGAGTGGTGGAGCCTCCCGAGCCTCAGTTTCCCCATCTACCATGGGATGCTAACATGTGCCTAAGAGCTTGGGTCAGACCTGGCTAGTGCTATACATCCAGGGCCACAGGGCCACAGGGCCACTGTGTGGCTGGGCAGTGGGCAGGGCACTGTGCCCAAGGTAAGTCAACAAATACTCGGAATGGACCCTCCAGGAGAGGCAATGGCAGGCCAGCTGCCCCCACGGTGCCTCCTCTTCCCCTTTTCGCCCCTCTTACAATGGAAGGCATCTTCTATGCCACTGAAGATGACATTCCCCTGTCTGAATATCCCTTCTTCCAGGCGGAAAACCCCTCATCCTGCATAATCCTGATTCATATTACCTCTTCCCTAGAGCCTCCTAAGCTCTCCAGGCAGGAGGAACTGTGACTGTCACACCTCCTATCACTCAGGAGGTCCCGAGTCAGCACACCATGTGGCAGGCTGTAGGAGACTGCATCTGGGTGTGGCGCACTGGGAAGGGAGCCGCTCTGCACCCCCGGCCCCATGAGCTGGCTCTGGCTCTGTGGCTCAGCTAGGCGCATCAGCACTGCCTCTCATCACTGCATGTGCTGCAGGAGGGTGCTGCCAGCCCGTTCTTTATCAATCATTCACTGAAATGCTCACTGAGGAAGTACTGTGAGCCAGGCACTCGCTGGGAAAGGACAAAGAATCAAGGTGAGAGCTGGAAAGAGCAGAAGCGGCAGGTGAAAGGGCAGGACACTCAGTGGAGCTTTGACAGCTTCAGTTGTACACGTAGGTCTGCAGCATTGTGTTAATGCTGTTCGGCATGTTGCCAAAAGGCCAAGACACAGCAGCCCAAGCTCAGCATACTTAGAAGCATTAAAACATGGCTGGGGGCAGAGTTTAACTACATTTCCCAGCATCCTTTGCAATGGAGGGTCATGTGACCCCACTCTGGCCAATAGAAATGGGCAGCAGGGCCAAGTCTATTTCCTGGTAGGAGCCTTACCCACACCTCAAATCTTCTGTGTAGTCTCATTCCCCTCTGTAGGATAGGTAGGATTATAGCCTCCAGGAACCTAAGGGGTCAAGGCAGCCATGCAGCAGGGGCCTGGGCAGTTAACATTTGGAGGGGAGGTAGCCAGGAAAGCCATCAGCCGGTGAGCTTGCCCACGGACTGTGTCATGAGCAGGAGCCACACGACCCTTTTCGGCCCTCAGCCGGCTGCGTCTCCAGTCCCAGCCCAGTGGTCTCCTGGGTGAGCAGCCGTGGCGGCCACTAGGATGGCTCCCCAGGCTCCAGCACCCTGCAGGAAGCCACTTTGCTCACCAATGATGCCAAAGGAGAAGAGAGTCAGCTGCCTCCCCAGCCTGTCCATGCTCTTTTGCAAAGGTGTTTTAGGTGTCTGAAAGGGGGAGAATAGGGGTTGTCAGACACTGCCCTAGCCGGGGACTGATTGGCCATGGACAGACTCGCCTTGTGGCCTCAAGCTTTCCAGGAGTGACAGTGATGCCCCAGGTCACTGACCTCACCCCGAGGGCTGTCTGGGTTACACTGTGATGAACATCCTACATGGTTCTTGAAATAAAAGTAGATTTAAAAGCTAGCCTCAGATGAGCCACAGCTGGCTCCTTCTGCAGTGTGGGCAGGGCTGCCACGGGCATCAGGGGCAGAGTCTTGGATTACCCCACAGCCCGCAGCTGCCCCACTGACCTCTTCTGCCTGCATCATCTTGAACACCTCTCCGAACTGAGACCTCTCTCCTGTTCCAATCACGACTCCCTGTGTCAGCAGAGAAGAGGTGGCGTGAAGCCTGAAGGACTGGAGCCTGTGGCGCTCCGTGCCCGGCAGCCCTGCCATACCTGGCCCTTCCCGCCCTGCACCAGGGTCCCCATGAAGACGATGTTGCTCAGCGTGCTGAGGTCCCCGCTGCCTGTCAAGGGGCTGTCTGTTTTGCTGCACGGCTCCGCCTCGCCGGTGAAACTGGACTCGTCCACTAGGAGGTCTGTGACCTGGGTGGGACAGAGCAACACTGTGGGATCTCCTGTCTCAGCCTGCGAGTTGGCTTCAGGAGCCCCGCTGCCATCCAGCACTTTGATGGGCATCACACGGGAAGTGTCGAATCAGAGAACCCCAGTCAGAGTCAAAGCGTTGGATGCCTGGCCGAGGTCAGAAAGCATTTGAATGGGATCCTTGGGAAACAGAAGCCTCACACCTTCTTATAACTCTATGTGAAATTTCAACACAATTTAATATGGCTAAGGCCATTTGACCACAGGACACATCCCTCAGAGTCCCTGTGCTGCCCACCCCTGCCCACCCCAGGTCCTGTGCAGACCCCAGGGCTCCCTCAAACCCTGCACATAACCGAGTGCTCTGGTTGGGCAGTGGGGCGTGCGTTGCCCAGCAACCACTGCGTTGGCCTTCAATCCACACCATGAGGTGTTAGGACAGTGGCAGCTTGATCCCACAGTGGTGTTTAGAGGTCGGGTGTTTGGGAAGGGATCAGGATTAGGTGGATTAGATGCAGCTGTGAAGGTGGAGCCCCAGGATGGAACCAAGGAGGCTTTCTTTCTTTTTTTCTTTTTTTTTTTTTTTTTGCAGAACCAGGGATTGAACTCAGACCCTTGCGCTTGCCAGGGAAGCACTTATTCCACTGAGCCATCTCCCAGGCCCCACCAAGGAGGCTTTCAAAGAAGAACGAACCCACGCACAATCGCCATCTGCCAGCACGAGGCGCCCTGTGCCACCTTGGGACTGCCGCAGCAGCGTCCCCACCTGTGCGGTGCCTGGCACATTCACGAGACCACTTCTTTGTGAGTTATGTGGCGCTACTGCAGAGCAGAGCTGGGCTGTTCTGCGATACTCTAAGGTTAGGTTAGCACCAGCAGCACCCAGGGTCCCTGAGGCAGGCGGGGCAGTGCTGGCATTCGAGCCTGGCAGGGCCTGAGGACGCAGCTGGGCCGCTGCCTGCTCGGGCCCCACGGAGGCTCCTGGCCCACGTGGCTCCCACCCACGCAGCTCCCGAGGGTCCCAACAACTCCACTTCGACCCTTGCTTACTCTAGAAATGGGAGGGAAACAAAAAGCCACAGGGCCGGCCCTCCTGGCAGTGCCAGGCCAGCCTCTGACTGGGCTCTCCCACTACCTGTTAACTGAGGGAGAGGAGGGGTTTCTTGAACCCCCTCGATAGGCTAGGCGCTAACAGGAAGCTCAAGAGCCGGTTGCTCCTGGCCCCGAGGGCTTTGAGGGCCACAGTGCAGCACTCCAGGACTCGGAGCATAATCACTGATGAAGGCTTCCACTGTGAATGAACAGAGCAATCGACTGTCCTGCCGGGTTGCGGAACACCAGCAGGGCAGCCAGCCAGCCAGCTTGGAGGTGCCTGCGGCACAATACACGGTGCAATTTAGCTGAACCTGAGCAGGGTGGGGAGAAGCCAGGCGAGGGAGAGGAAGGGTTTGTTTGGGGCTTAGGAGGATGTCTCTGAGGTCTGTTCAGGCTCACAGGACAAAGATGGAAACCACCCTGCTGCCACCGTGCTGGGCAGGGGCTGCACTCACCTGTCCTCACCCTAGCCCAGGAAGTGGGGCCAACGTCAGTTGCTCAGAGATGGGACACCACGGCTCAGACAGGCAGACCTCCTCCCAAGCCACATCTGGGAGATGTGGAGGCAGGGCCCACAAGCAGTTTCCCTGGCTACCAATACTGTTGCCATAGTCACAGGCAAGCCCATGCCCCCTTCCTGCTGACTGACATGCTTAATCCTTTCAACAACCTGTGGCTATGACCCTGCCCATTTTACAGATGAGGCCCAGAGAGGCTAAGCAACTTGCTCCAGGTCACAGTGCTTTGAGTTATAGACCCAGGGCTCAAATCCAGCTCATGCTTGCCTCCCAGGCTCTAGCCACTGCTCCACCTGGACTCTCCACCTCATACCAGCAGCTGCAGTGGACAGGAGCCCTCCTTATTGGCCACCTTCCGCTCCCTGGAGGACGCTGTAGTGCAAGGCAGAGAAGCAACAAAGACCGGCTCCCAGTGTTGGACGTGGCTACCATGTCAGATCCACATGGCATTCGGGTCAGATGCTGTGCCCCTCGCCTGGCCCTGCTGCGTTAGAGCCCCTGGGGTGAGTCCGTGTATGCACGCTGGGATGGCCTGCGGCCAAGGTCACAGACACTAAATACAGGTCCTAGGCAGATGCCTGCGCTTGCTGGTCCTTGTGCCTGAATGATGCATCCCCACACGTGGGCAGATGTGGTAGATCACTCCCACAACCTTGTCAGTGTAGGAGAAGCCCCTGGGCTGGGCACTGTCCTGCCAGGCTGTGACACTGAGACCTTCGGAGCTGAGGAGAACCTCATCCCTGGCTGGCTGCAGGGCCCAGGCTGGGCCACTGTGGAGGCTGCTGCTGCCGCCTTTCAGGACCTGGTCTCCAGGCCCGGTCCCCTCCCCGCTGCATGGATCCTCGGCATTGTGCGGGCTGGCCAGCCTCATGCTCCACACCCGTCTGGGTTAACTTGCTACTGCAGTCAGCTCTGGGCGAGGGTGTCACACGGCCCAATCTGTTAGGCTTCCATAGGAAGCCTGGTCCGTGGGAGACACATTCTGAGCCCCCCAGGGGGCCCTGACGCCACAGCTAGTGCCATACCCTACAGATGCTGTTTCTCCCTGGGTGCCGCACTAAGAGGTTTAATCTGTACCTTCCGCACTGGCAACATGACCACTGATACAAGAGACCACGTGTGGCCACACAGAGTGCTGGGACTGCTGTTTCTGGTCCGTGGTTGACTGTAGATGTCTGAACCCGCAGAGAGCAGAGCCACACAGAGGAGCCCTTGTGGTGCCTGTGCTGGGGACACGTGAGCTATGGAGGGTGGGCTTTGTGCCCTGGGTCGCCCGTGTGTGCATGTGCTCGTGTGTGTATACAGGTGTGCCCACTGGTGGCTCACCTTGGTGAGTCGGATGTCTGCGGGGATCCGGTCTCCAGCGGAGAGGCACACGACGTCCCCAGGAACCAGGTCCCGCGCAAGCAGGTGCTGAAGCTTCCCGTCTCTCATGCTACACAGAGGGAAAGGGCGGAGGGACCGTGTGGACGCCCGTCTCCGTGCGTGGATGCCTGAGGCAGCTCCCTTGGAAGGCATTTCTCTCAGCTATGGACAAGCCCTTGTGCCTTTGCAGCCTCCTCATTCTTTAAATTCACACATCCTGAAGGACTTGGGGACCCATGTGACTTCTGGGAGGCTGGGAAATGAGGCGACCACCCCGACTCCGCCTGGTGCTACAGAAGCGTCTGCAGGGTTAGCTTATCGGCTGGAGGCTGCGCTGTGTGCTTGGGGAGCAGGCTTGACCTGGCAGCGTGGGGGACAGCCTGGCGGGAACTACCAGTCGTGCATAAGAGACACGTGGCAGGACCCAGCTCTGCCCAGAGTTCCAGGCCGGCTCACTCCCCCTGACTGTTCTGTTCCCACCTGCAGCTGGCGAGCTCTAAGGACAACAGAGCCCCATGTAGTCCATCCTGCCCGGAGCTTTCCCACCCAGGCCCTGGGCTAAGTCCCTATCTCCTGCCGCTGCTCCCCTTGCTGCACCAGACAGGCAGGGTAGCACCCCACTGGCCCTTCCTGCTCTCAGGGTCCCCACAGACTTGGCGGCTGGAAGACATTTTCTTCTTCCTTCTTCGCGGAATCTGAGCCTGCATAGGTGTCCACCCTTCTCCCACTGCCAGGTGCTCCAGGAAGTGGTCACACCTGGCTCAGATCATCAGCGAGGTCTCAGATCCGGGTGGACAGTGTGGGCATGGGCAGGTCAGGCCACCCTGGCCAGTGAGATGGGCGGGGGTGTTTCCTGGGCACATGGGAGCCAGGGTTCCCCATGCTACACACACGTGCATATGCACACCATCTCTTCTGTGGGACTTGTGAAGCCCAGGCCTTGGGACCCTGAGGAGCCAGGCAGACAGCAAAGCCAAGCAGCGGGAGGAGGCAGAAGACGGTGCCACAGGAGGAGCTAACATGTCCCCCGCCTCGGAGCGCTCACTACAACACACATGCTCTTTCCTCACGTTTGCCCAGCTGAGTTTTCTGACCACGAAGCCAAGAGCACCTGATGGCAAGACACCTGTGGCTCCCTCTCATCCTCCTGAGGCTCCTGTGAGCCCGGCCTTAGCTTAAGGTCAGCTCCTCCTGCCATGCCATGTTGGCTCAGGGCCGCCTGAGAGCAGGCTGTCTAGACACAGTCCCGTCCCTCCCGGGTCACTGTTGCATCTCTGTGCACTTTCAGAGTTCTGACCCTCCTGCGGGGCTCATTAGCTGTCGCCGCTCCACAGCCAGGCCTCGCCTCAGCCTGCTGTCCCAGCACACAGAAGGTGCTCAGCAAGTGCCCCTGCATGGGAGCGCGCCCCTGCTGGCGAGAGGGACTCAGGGACACTGCAGGGCTTCACCCTGCTGCCCCTGCTGCTGTCCTTGAAAATCAAATGCCTGTAGAAGCACCCTCTAGGGACATCCATAATGCAGGCTGAGCACCTGAGAGGCCAAGCCTTGGTGCGGAAACTTGAGATCAGCCCATCAAGCCCCATGCATCATTTATGCCTCCCTCCGTGCCTCATGGCCCGGCGACCAAGCCTGCATTTCTCCTGCCCTGGTGGCCTTGGGAGGAGTCCCCTCCAGGCTTCCCTTCAGCCGCACCTGTGTCTGGCCTGGGCCTTTTTCTGCTCTGTCTGTCTCTGTCTCTCTTTCCTTCTGACACACACAGTCACACATAATTGCCTCGTGGGGCTCTGGTGCTTACTTTAATCAAAGTTAATCTTTTTGTTGTTTTTGTTTCTGTGGTGCTGGGGAAGGAGCCCAGAGCCTCATGCGTGCTAGGCCAGAGCTCACTGCTGAGCTACACTCCCAGCGCAAAGTGAAGTAGAACAGAATCAAGAACCAGTTCCTAGATCTCTGCACATGGGACTACGGCCCAGCCGGCCCTGGCGGGTCCCAGGACGTTTGAGGATGTGGCTGCCGCACCACAGGTGCTCCTGGATGTTTTTGTCTTTCTCCTTTTAACCATCTTCAGGGGGGCCTGCCCATTAGCTCAGATGTTTAAGTGCCTGCTCATGGAAATGCTGTCAGGTGCAGGATCCCCACCTCCACCTTCCTACCAGACCCGCCCTTAAGGCAGCCTCAGCCAGCCAAAAAAAAAAATCATTTAACCATCTTCAGCAAGAGCTGTGTGCAGCAGAGGGCGAGGCAGCACATCCAGCAGGCAGGAGGCCCAGCACAGGGATGGCCCGTTACCCTGGGAGAGCCTCTGCTGAGCCACTCGGAGGACCAGAAACCCGCAGAAACCCGCCCTCCCTCAGGAAGCAGCACCAGCTGCTCCTGTCAGTTTTTCCCAGAGCTGCTGCCTCCGTGCACACCCTCAGGCTGGGGACCCAGGAGGCTAATGAGACAGCAGAGCTTCAGAAGGCTGAGCTGCCTGCCCAGGACACACAGCAAGCCAGCGACGCCGCAGGGACAGAGCATTTGCCGAGTGTGTGCCAAGCGCGTCGCCCCAGCTCCAGCGAGGAACTGAGACCTGGAGTCACTGACTCACCAGTGGCACTCGGGGGGGACCAGCTTGGTCAGCTCCTCCAGGGACTTCTCCGAGCGGTACTCCTGGGGAGGCGCGTCACATATGCTGTTTCTGGGGACCCCACAACCCCCTTCATGCCCAGGTGACCCTAATGGGGTGGGACCTTGGCAGATACGTACCTGGATGAAGGCCACAGTGACCACGATGAGCACAGCCTGGAGGGAGATGGGCACAGGAAGGCTTGAGCGTCAGTGGCTGGGGCTGGGGCTGGGTGGGTTGGGCTGGGCGAGCAGGGACAGTGGCCTTCTACACACACTGCCTTTCCTTTTGCAAAGTCAGTGCGCTGTGCAAAATTAAGAAACCACACGCCCAAAGCAAGCAGAGAAATCACAGCGAGTCCCACCGCCCAGGCTCACAGGCTGGGAAGCCCCTTAACTCATTTCTCTACTCAGACACACTTCCAGAAGGGCGTCGTGTCAGGGAAAGCTCCTTTTCCGGCCTCGCAAGGAAACCTCACTCTGCACCTGCAGGTGAGACTCTCACCCCAGCCTCTCGGTCAGCAGCAGCCAGGCCCACTGTGCGGCCGAGGCTGGCCGTGTTTCGAAAGCATAACTTGTGCCAACAGATGTGGGAACGACAACTGCAGAGAGGGCTGCAGAGCCAGAGTGCAAAGGTCTCAGGCTGCAAGCTCACTCCAGGACAAATCAGAGGAGGCCAGACGCAGGACAGCAGACGCAGGGCGACTGCTCTGTCACAGACACACACACAACCTGGAGCCAGCAGCCCGTCTGGGGGCAGAGGCGCGTCTGCAGCGACTTCCTGCCTGGCGAGAGACTGCTGTGACCATCAGGAGCAAAGGGCCCATAGCTGGCCTGCTGCCAGTGAGGGAGGGACAGACGCAGTTTGCCTCTTCCACTCTGTTCTCTTTCTGGGGCCCACTCGCTCTTCCTTGACCAGCAGCGGTAGGGGGAGACGCTGGCAGCCTGCAACGCCGCCGCTCACCATGGCGATGCTGATGGCATCCTCGTACTGCTTCGTGAGCACACTCACCGCAGCCGAGCCCAGCAGCAGCAGGATCAGGGGGTTCTTGAACTGAAAGACAGACAGTGGGTCTCATCCCGAGTCTGCCTCAGATGAATCCCGCATGGGAGTGTGGCTCGGGTCTGCTAGGCCACCAGTGCAGGGACTGAGGGCTGGAGGAGCGTTGGAACTTGCCCCCATGGCCTGATGGCTGCGGCCCTGGCCGCCTCTGAGCCCTTGCTGCAGCTCCAGGATGTACTGGTTCAGGGCCTCTGGGGCGCCAGAAGGTCCTCTCACCACACCACCTCCTAGATCCCGTGAACTAGAAGCAGCCGAGCTGGCCTCTACACAGCCCCGAGAGCAGGGACGCCCCTGCTCTGCCCGCACCATTTGCGACCTGAGCAGCCCCTCCCGCCTCTCTGCCCTTGCCCTATGGAGGGCCTCGGGAAAACTGGCTGGAGGCGGAAGGGGGCCAGTTGGCTCCCAGAACACAGCTGCAAGATCACCGCCGGTGATTGATAGGGGGGAAGGATCTGGACCCTTCTGGCCAGGGCTGCCTGGGGACGGCTGGGCAGGCAGCGCCTCCCACTTTGAGAAAGGGCTGCACCATGAGCCCAGCCCTTGGGACTGAAGCCTTGGGATGGGGACAGCTGGGGAAGACAGCAGATAAGCCTCGTAGGAACCCAGGCACAGTGCCCAAGGCAGGCCCACGTATGGCTGAAACCCTGTGGATCTTCAGAAGCCAGTGAAGGGACAGTTACGGGACAGAGCAGTGGGCGGGCTTTGTTCAGACCGGGCCCCAAAGAGCCCTGTGGGGAAACTGACCGCTGACACAGACGCTGCTAGGGATTCTTGCTTGGTACTTGAGCAGCCTAAGCTTGAAAGTGCTCGGCTGGGCCCTGGACCTGCACTGAGCTCACCCGGGCTCTGAAGGCGCGCTCTTAGCTGCTGGAACCTTCGCAGGTGGGGGAAGCGTGGGCGGAGGGGCGGGGCCAGTCCTGCTCCTGCGTGCGCCAAGCACTTGCGGCTTAGCGAAATTCACAACAGCAGGTTTTCATTAGTCTCATTTTCTAGACAGGAAAAGCTGAGGCTCGAGGGAGATCCGTAGTATCTTCTGTGTTACCCAGCCAGACTGGGGCTTGACCCCGGCAGTGTGATTCTAATCTGTCTCCTTCAATCCCGGGCCCACGTGTCCTGGTCGGGAGAAGCCCCGGCAGTAACTCCTGGGACAGCGTGGCAAGGTACCGGAGCAGCACGCAGGGAGCCGCAACCCCCGGCCCATGCAGAAGGGCGGCAGCGTGAAGGAGGACAGAGTGGGTGCTGAGGGGCCGTGCTCAGCAGCCCCCCGGCTCCTGAAAGGACCCTGCAGACACAGCCTGAGCAGACAGGGAGGAGAAGCAAGGTCCTTGGCTCGCAACAACCCTGAGAGATTTCACCCTGGAAGGCCCAGGCAGCAGAGCCCCGGAGCAAGCAGTGACAGGCAGAGGCGGGAGGGAGGGCCACAGGCACTAGAGGGTGGGATCGGGTCGAACAGGAAGCAGGGCAGAGCTGATGGGCCCACAGCCCACTTCCAGGAGCCGCCTGCCTCTGCCTCTTCCCAGTACTGGGCTTCCAGGAAGCTTCTGGGCGGGCCACAAGTGCCAGTGCTACCCGGAATGTATTTTGATGCCAAGAGGTGGGAATGAAGACGCCCCCGGGAACCACGAACGGAGCAATAAGGAAAAAAAGGAGAGTGCAGCTTTAGGGTGGCGCAGGACTGAAACTGGTCCTTGAACTGACCAATCAGAAAAGCTTGTAAAAGGAGCCAATAAGAGGCAGCAGATCGCAAGCGGACAGGAGAGCGAAGATGCTGCAGGATCGTGATTGGTCCTTCAACCGACCGATCAAGAAAGTCTGAAACTTGGCGCCAACAGGAAGCTGCTGAAGCCTAAGGCTGCCAAAAGAGGGGCACCAGGGATGCCACCAGGAAGGTATAAGAGGCCAGTGCGGGATCCAGATGCCTTCAGGAGCCTAAAACACTCTGCTTGTTGACTGAGCCACTGTGAGCTAGTCCCGGGAGGGTGCTGACTTCTGCACTGGAGCCTGGAGCTGTGGCTATTTTGGCGTTTCCTCTCCTCTTCCTAGTGGTTTCTAGGCACTAGCTTGTGGGCCATCGCCTCCGTGCCAGGCTGACGCTTACGGCAGTGGGCAAGCTTCACAGTCCGCCCTGGCTGCATGTCTTAGCACCATCCCCCACTGCTGTGACTCTGGACTCAGGTTTCCAGAAAAAATAGAGGATGTGCAGTGAAGTTTGAACTTTTGAGGGACAAGGATGGACATTTTAAAAAATGTCTGCTGCAGTAGCTGAAAATGGTTGTACTTAAAAACTGCCCCTTGCTCATCCCCCTAAATTCCAGTTTCACAGGGCCGCCTGTCTCTTGTTCTCTGCATCTCATTACTGGGGCCGGGGAGATAGCTCGGGGTCTGACGCCCCACTGGCAAGCGCAAAGGCTTGCGTTTGATCCCTGGTACTGCATGCCGTGCCGGTCCCTGAACTCGGGGTGTGGCGGTGCACCCCTGTAATCCCAGCACAGGGGAGGCTGAGATAGGAGGATCACTATGAGTCCAAGCTGCATAGGGAGACTCTATACCAAATAAATAAATATTTTTAAAAACTGTATCTCATCAGTGCACCTGGGGACAGTACTTCGGTGTTTCTCCTCCTCTGTGGCCCCAGCACACAGGGACAGAGAGGAAGTTTCATAAGTGAAGGCCACCTTATTTTGTCACTCATTGGCAGGCACCTGGCACATGGTCAGTGCCCACTGCGGGATTACCATGGTTCTTTGTGGTGGATGCTGGGTGCCTCCTGCTCCTCAGAGCAGCCTGAACAAGGAAGGAGACTTCTTATTTTGTAGGGCCCTTGCCCCACGCCCAGGCAGGGCTCGTCCAAGGACACCCTCAATCAATATTTGAAGAGTCAGGGGTGGCCCTGCCCTTCCCAGCAGGAGCTCTGCCAGGCTGGAGGACCCCCACAGGCCCACCTGATCGAGGTATTTCTTCCACACAGGCTCTGCGTTGTCAGCGACAAACTCGTTCCAGCCGTGTACCAGCCTGCGCTGTGTCACTGCGACCTCGGACAGGCCAGCATCCAGGTCTACCTGGAAGGGACAGCAAGCACCTCCCTGTGGATGGGCCCTGCAGGGATGGAGGGGCCTGAGGTGTGGGCCCACCCTACAGCCCACCGCTTCTGGGATGGGCTAGGAAAGGGGCTTGGCCTCAAGACTGCTCCAGGACCCCTGAGGATGGGGCGGGAAGGAGACGAAGGCGGCCGCCCGTTCTTACTCCATCAGACCACACGGCCAGCCAACAAGTCCAGCAGGAGCGTGGCCTCGGCGTGAGTTTCAGCAAGTGGAAATACAGACATGCACTTTCCTCTTCATTTAAAAAAGTGAAAAGAGCCTTGGGAACGTGTGTGCCGTAGCTACCAGAACTGGCAAGCAGCTAGCGCCAGAAAGCACTGCAGCACTTGCCCCCAAAGGAAGCACGGGGTCACCAGGTGCCCCAGACATTCCACTGCTGGGCCGCGTGCCTAGATGGTTGAGGGCGGGTCTCGCGGAGGTGTTCTCGTGCCCTGCTCACCACAGGCACGTTTTCAACAGCCAGAGCTGGAAGCGACTGACCGCAGTCCATGAATGACTGAAGGGGTGTGCTAGGCGGGAGGAGGTGCCAGCTAGCTTTAAGCAGAAAGAAGATTCCAGCGGGGCCCCGTGGTGCATGCCTGGCTATAGTCCTGGGTACTTAGGAGGCTAGGGTGAGCGGATTGTAGGTTTGAGCCCTGTCTGGGCAACTTAGAGCAGTCCTCTTTCAAAATAAAACAATCGGAGCTGGGGAGATAGCTCAGTAGAATAAGTGCTTGCCTGGCAAGCACAAGGGCCTGAGTTCAATCCCCGGTTCCGAAAAAAAAAAAAAAACAATCGAGGGCTAGGGATGTAGCTTGGTTGTTCAGTTGTTGGAGCAGCCTGGGCTCAAACCCCAGTACCACCACCAAAAAGAAAAAAGGAAATTCAGATCTGTGCTACAGCAGGGGTGGACCCAGAGGGAAGTGGGCCGGAGTAAAGCAGCCCTGGGGGACAGGCAGCAGGGTTCTGTTTCTGGGAGGGACACAGAGGTCACACAGACAGGAAGCAGTTGGGGCCGTGTGCTGCAGGGAGCCCGCTGGGGGCTGGTGCCGAGACAACCTTTCCCCTCTGCAGGGTGAGAGTGCACATCCGGCAGGTGTGTACCCGCTATGGCCCTGCTGGTGGAGGTGACAGGCAAAGCTGAACATGTGGCTACTCTGCTAGGCAGGGTATAAAGACTCCCGCCCACCCCTAAGCAGTGGTCTGCGGGGCTCGGATGCACCCAGGAAGAGACTCTGTGCCTGGTCCCCAGACAGTGTCCCTGTGACCAACCATTGTTAGGCTTTCATCAGTACTTCCAAGGCGTGAATGTGCGTGTTGGTGCTTTTGCTGAGCTTTCTAAAAAAGAAGCCCAGAGACATAAAGCAAGTGCCACCGCTGCCTCTGGTGGGGCGCTTCCTTGCGTGGGGCCGCCCTTCCGCCTCTGCTGGCCAGGAGTTCAGATTCCCCTGAGATGCCCAGGAGAATGTGGCTTTCACAACCAGCTGTTCTGGGGCTATGAATGGCAAGGGAGGGAATGGGGATGCTCACGTGGCTCGTCACTGATGACAGGAGCCCCAGGAGTCTGGGCTGTGTGTGTCTCTCCCATGTGAGGCCGGCTCGGGACCTGGTGCCTGCCCACGTCACAGCCGGGCATCGCTGCGGACCAGCTAGCTCACACCGGAGCGGCTCAGCACGCACAGCCAGAGCGGTCTTCCAGGCATGGCACCCGCTCCCTTCACCTAGAAACCTCACTGCCACAGGCATCAGGGGCAAATCCAGTTCTTACAGCAAACGCTTGCGCCAGGGCCTCCTTGTGGCACTTGCACGCTTCCGTGGGTGGCAGAGCCGAGACCGCCTTCTCTCCTCTGGCTTTCAGCTCGCTCTGCCCCTCGACCTGCAGGGAGAGCAGGCGGCTGGTGAGCAGAGCATTCCCCTGCACACGGCACGCGCTGACCCATCGGGACAGCTGGTGCCGGCCCCTGGAGCTCCCCTGCCCCCCCCGTCACCATCTTTGTCACCATGGATCGGTTTTGCCAGATGTGATAGAAATGGTGACACGCAAAGCGTGTTCCCTGCACCCCGACTCCCGCTGCTCAGCGTGGCTGGTGACTCAGCGTGGGCTGTGTGTGTGTGATGACTCATTTCCTAGCCCAGGCTGGCCTCCAGCCTGCAGCGACCCTCCCGCCTCCAGCCCCCCGCGGGCTGGGGTCTCAGGTGTGTGCCTCCATGCCCGGCAGTTGTTTTTGAGACAGGGCCTCACTACATAGTGCAGGTTCAGGCGGACCTTGAGCTCACAGTGACCCTCCTGCCCCAGCCTCCTGAGTGCTGGGATTGTAAGCGTGCGTGGTCACACCTGACCGGATTACTGAGCCGACTTACTGAGTAGAATTGGACCTTGCAATACTGACACGGCAGTATCTAGAATCCTGAACTGCGGCTCTCGGGCTAGCTTAGTCCACCAAGTTTTAGACAGCGCCCCCTACTGATGGTAGTTAGCAACATGGACTGGTTCTAGAAGACTTTCTAAATAGCCCACGGAGAGGGCTGGGGGCACAGCCACGTTCTGAGAGGCTCAGGAGCTCCAGGTGAGCGGCAGGTGTGCGGAGGAGTGCCATGAGGCGCTGCAGGGCCTGATAACCGGGGCCTCAGTGCCGGGGCGCGCAGGGGTCCTTCAGTCTTCCTAGCATCCAATGCCCAGGGCGCGGTAGCCAGCTCTTCTTTCTGCAGCTGGCTATGGGAAGCAGGAGGGCGAAGGGCGCTGGCTAAGTCCTTCCTCGTAGTGAAATAAAGACCGAGTCTGGCTCTGCCTCCCCTCAGCCCCCCGTGCCCATGCGGCTGTCCCTGTTCTCAGCACCCCTGTGCCCATGCGCACCCTACAGCGAGCTGGCCCTCTCCCCGTCAAGACCTTGTCCTCTGGGCCCAGTGCGGGGCCTTGTCCCACCTCACTGGTGGCCCCCCATTCTCTGTCTTGCTGCTGCTTTCCGCCACGAGCACACCTCAGAAGGACCCTACACACCCACAGGACACCTGTGCTTGGAGTCACTCACACAGGTTCCAGCAGCCCTCGGGGTTAAGCCACCTCCCTGGGACACAGCTCAGTGACCCCACCTTACCCCTCAATGAGCCCCGAGCAGCTGCCCTGGCCCAGCAACACCAGCTGGTTTTGTCCTTAAGGCTTAACCTCGCAGCATGTGTCATGTAAAGGGAATCACACAGGTGTGACCCTTCGTCTCTGTGACCCCCAAAGTACCGCTTGTCTGTAGCAGCAGACTCAGCACACAAGCTGGGGCTGCTGGTGGGGAGTGGGGCCTTCTGAACCCCAAGAAAGCAGGCAGAGACACAGGGACTCTTTGGAGCAGCTTCCTCAAGCAGACCCAGCTCTGGCCTGATCTGACCTCCCGGAAGCTTCCAAGAGCGCCACCATGGGCTGACGTGGCCCTGGTGACAGGGGAGCTGCCGAACTCAGTGGGGCAGCTCCTCCCAGCCGGCCTGGCACCTCTGCCCCCATCCAGCGTGGGCTCCACTCACCTCATGCCCTGGCAGGAAAGGGCCTGGGCCTCTGCTGCTAGAGGGCTTGTGCTAACCTGTGTTTCCCCAACATGGTTCCCAAATCCTCCTGCAGGCCTCAGTTTCCCCTTCTGGACAGTGGGCCATCATAGCAAGTGTTCTGCAGGGTTCCGTGGGATTCGGAGAACAAAGAACAGGAAGCCCGAGTGTAGGAGGACTGCAGGGGTGCATGGGGGCCAGCAGGCCCTTATCCTGGGTACCTGGAGAGCGCGGGGTGTGGGGGACTCAACAGCCCGCCAGGGCTAGCAAACAAGAACACAGAACACTGGTCCCAGGAATGCCAGATAAGCAGCCATAAATTCCATGCCCTTGGGCGCCAGATGCTGGGCAGGCTGTGCACACACTCGGATTAGTCACTGTCCCGCTGCAGCAGGGTTGGGCCTCTGGAGGAAGTTCCCGACACCAACAAGGCAGAGAACTGCGGAGGCCAGCTCTGGAACCAGTCCCCGAGGGAGGAGGCAGAAAGGGGCCATGAAGCCCAGCTCTCTAGGAATTCCACAGTTCACAGTGGATGCAATTATCAGATCAGTGGAAGCAGTGAGGATAGCGCAGGGGTCACCATCACCCAGGGATAGCTGGAAGATGTCACTAAGGGAATGACAGACACACGGGACATCTGCTTTCCAAGATTTATAGCTCAGTCTTGCCCAGCAATCTGTGAATTGTCCAGTTTGTCTCTGTCCAGCTGCTCTCCAAGTGTGGTTCTTAGGGCTGCATCGCCCAGAGCTTATTAGAAATGCAGATTCTCCGGCCCCGTCCTGGCCCTCACAGGTCAGGGGCCCAGGCCGGTGGCAGCCTGTGGCTTAACAGGTTCCTGGGAGGAGACCTGGATGTATTTCAGTGCCTTCACTGGGCTCTTCACAAAGCATTCCTGCCACGGCCTGTCCCCAGACCAGTGGGGCAGTGGGGACCAGCCACAAGGCATGGTAAGGCCTGCAGGGGATGCCGCAGGACTGGGGCTGAGCAAAGGATGCCAGCGTGAGAGAGACACTCAGGCCAGTCCAAGGCGTCCCTTCCGAGGGCGACCATCTTGGAGGTTGGGAAAGGCCTTGACCAGCAGCCCATACTTGGGTGGGAAGTGGTGGGGTCCAAGCAGTGTATCCTGGAGGAGGCGTGGGTGGCCCCGAGTCCTGCTGGAAGTTGGGCGGACAAGGAAGGAAGTAGCCCCAAGGAAGGCTGGACGGGTAGAGATCACACCGCCACAACCCTCAGCTCACATGGCACTAGCGACACGACAGTGTTAACACTGACACCCACTTCCCACCTACTCCATGTGAGGACAGACCGGTGCCCTCAGAGGCAGGCGCATGCTGTATCCCCATTTTGCAGACCAGAACAAGGCTGAACTGGCCCTTCCACACCAGCACCTTTAGTCCCAGCTCTGCCACACAGGAGAGCGCTAGCTCTGGGTTTTCTGTCCTGGGAAGGGGAGAACCAGAGAGCGAACCCTGCCTTCCTGGGCGTTCCCCACCTGCAGGGGAGCACGGGGGAGGGGAGGTTGCTGACTCACAGGATCAGCCCTGCCGCCAGCCCGAGGGGCCTGGGGCACAGCCCAAGGGGCTTTGCAGCTGGGATCTGGTCAAGTGTTGGGGGGATGGATCTGGGCTCAGCAGGAAGGGCGAGCAGGTGACCACAGAGCTTGGTGAAAGGGAGGGGTAGAGCACTGTGGAGCGTGGCTTTGCACCTCGAGGAAGGGGCCACAGCTGTGGAACACAGCTGCTGCCAGAGCTGGAACAGGCAGGGGAGCCAGCCTGCTCACGGGTGTGCATATGCCTGTGTGTGTGTGTGTGTGTGTGTGTGTGTGTGTACAAAGTGTGCGTGGTTCTGGGAACTGAGTCTGGGGTATTCACACAGAGCTATACCCCAACTCTATTTTTATTTTGAAACTGGGTCATGCTAAGCCAGTAAATTAATCTGTCTGGGCTTGGACTAGCAATCCTCCTACCTCACATCCCAGGACACTGGGATTATAGGCCTGTGCCACCAAGCCCTGTGGCTGGCCACTCTTGGCGTCTGCCTGCTGAGGCCCACGTGGGATTTCTGTCCTCCAGAACAGCCAGGGAACCCACAAGTACTGTTTGGAGCCACTGAGGCTTGTGAGGCTTCCATCGGCGCAGTGTGGCACTGCTGCCCTCTGCCCCAGGAAGCAGCCCGCTCTCTGCACCCCCAGGCTCCCTGCACCCTGCACCCTACTCACCATGAGTGTGCCTCCTGCAGGGGCCCAAGAACTTCACAGGAGATGGGACTGGAGTTGGCCACTTCCTGGGCTCAAGTGGGGGCCCAGGTGCTGGGAACCCTGGGGGCCAGAGGGCAGCCGAAGGGGCAACAGGATTGCTGTTAGGACAGCAGCCACATGTTCTGAAGGTGTGGCTGCAGGGCACCTGCGGGGTGACTGAGCTAGTCCTGGGGCATGGCTGGGGCTGCGGGCAGAGCGCAGCCCTCCTCTCACCAAATGGTCCGCTTGGTTCTTTCCTTTCATCCCCTTGCTACTCCTGCATGCCAACGATAAAGCCTGGCCTGGAACCCGGGTGTGGTTGCTGGCTCATACCAAGAACTGACACAAGTGAGTTTATGGAAAGCAACAGCTAGGAGTGCTGTGGGCAACACAGACCACGGGAGAGCTTGAGAAACAGCCCGGACGACAAGGGGCTACACTAGCCTCCATATCACGGCCAGAGAGAAACCTCCCCGGACAGCCGCCTGCTTTTCTCCACCTGGATGGAGCAGGATTTTCCAAACCAACCGAGCTCCTGAGCTCTGGGGGAGAAATCCGCTTGTTTTTCCCTAAGGGGCAAAGGATGTAAACTAAGAGTTCATGGATGGGAACAGCGATGGCTTTGGTGCATTCAGACATTCAGAAGTCTGCACCCCCGACCCAGGGACAGAGGCGGATCATCTGGGTCTGCAGGGGACAAATCAGGACAGACGCCCTGGCACCGTGTCCCAGCGCACGACCCTCTTCAGTGCACTCAAGGAGGAACAGTGTCTGTGCAAGGCCTCCTTCCACTGTCACACTGCTGGTGACAGCTGAATACTGAGGCTGGAAGCGGACCCTATGGCTGATCTCACTGCCTTAGCACGAAGCACCGTGCACCCTGCAGTACCAGTGCAAGAGCTTTTCGTTTCCCAGTAGGAAAACTGTGAACTCCACTGGGGCTAAGCCACGCAGCGGCGGTGTGCATCTGCAGTGCGGCCCAGCCCCTCCCTATGCGCACGCCCCAGTAACCACCACCTAGAACCAGTGAAGCACCTCACGCTCCAGAAGGGCCCCTGCTCCTTCCTTTCCTGGGCCCTTTCCAATTTGCTTCCTCCTTCTTCCTTCTTTTC